TTTCTTTCTTTCTTTCTTTCTGTTGTCCTGCGTATTTCGCTCCCTTAGTCGCCTCTTACGACACCGTCGGAATGAATAGGGGTAGTGACATTCCGTATTCTTAATCCGTCACTACACGGACTTTGTAACAGAATTTGTAACTTGCGTAATTTTAATTTCTTACCATTGTAATTTTTTCGGGTTTTCGCTTTACTGAAGACCTCTGGTAAAGACTAGTAATTAATTTTTGCAGTTAAATCTGCTTAAATTGAAGGTATTGCTAAAATAGGGAGTCGTCTCTGCTTGGTACTGTTTCTTAAGTAGTTTTTAACCATTTTTAACTTAGAAATACTTCTTTCAGTACTTACAGATGCGTCAGATACGTCTCTATGCAAAACACCTGCTATACGCAGATGATATGAAAATATACATGCGTGTAAGATCTAGACTTGATTGTGAACTTGTACAGCGTGACCTTAATGCTTTATATTGCTACTATATACAGAATAACATCACAGTCAACGTTTCTAATCAATCAAATATATATACAAGTTCGACAGCAATGTTATTGAAAGGGTTGATGTGGTCAGAGATCTCGGTGTAATGTTAGATTCAAAATTGCTATTCTCTGAACACATTGATCATATAATCAGTAAAGCCTCTCGTAATCTTGGTTTTGTGATGCGTACTTGCGAACCTTTTAGAAATTGCCACAGTTTAAAGATTGTATATTATGCATATGTCCGTAGCATTTTGGAGTACTGCAGTCAAATTTGGTCACCTCAATATAATGTTTATATTGCGAGACTGGAAAGTTTTGCAGCAGAGGTTTGTGACATTCCTAAATTTTAAGTTTGGGAAACGTCATGCCTCTTATTCCGTAGACTGTAGACACTATCACCTTCTTCCTCTTGATGATAGACGTAAGATGCTGGATATGCTTCTACTTTTTGATATCCTACGTGGTGAACTTGATTGTAGTGATCTCCTATCATGTCGCAGTCCCCGACGAACACTATGGTAATCGCTATTACGATAGAATCGGGTTTATTAGATATTCGTTATCTACACACCCTATTACAATCATTGAGTTTTTTTTTATGATCGGGCGATGAATACTTTTGGATTTATCGCTTCAATAATGATCTTTATGTTTTTGTTCAACGTATAACATAAGTGAAAAATTTACACGATCAATAACGCAAAAACCTATTACCAAATCTCAAAAGTCAACATTTTATAGTAAGCGGCTATTACCATATTGTTCGAAGGAAAAATGACAGAATCTTATTAGTGGCAAGAGTTGGTTAAACGACACCCAAGGCCGAAAAATTCAGTGGATTGATGGAGAAATTGATCCAGGTGAGAGTTTCTCATTTGAAACCAACAATTTTACAGTATAAGTATGACTTCGACAATGATTCTTTCGAGTTCGATACAAAACTTCAACTAAACAAACCCAAACGAGGACGGAAACCCGTCCCTGGCCAGGTTGATATACAAACACTCAAAAATGTTTACAGCCACCCTTTACCTATCACCAAGGCTCTGTTTGCTGACCCAAAGTCTTTGTGTGAAAGTGAGGCCATCCCTAAATTTTATCACAGTTTTTATAGTAATTTAAATTATGCAGATCTCAATATTATACCTGAACAACAACAAGAAGATATAGATAAAAATTAAATTCAGTAATTTTTGTTTCATATTATAATAATAAAAATTGATAATTTTTGCGTTTAATTTGTCGCCATTAAATAGTAAATGTATAATCAACTAGCGTGTTCCCGCGACTTCGTCCGCATGGAATAGTGACTTTGGGTACCATTTGAGTGAATCCCAAGCAATGACGATACTTTCATACAACATTTCAACCCCTATTTCGACCCCTTACAACCCTTTTTTGCATTTAAAAGTAGTATATGTCCTACCTCAGGCTCTAGGGTATCTGTGTACTAATTTAATGTAAATCGGTTCAGTACTTTTAGCGTGAAAGCTACATAGACAGACAGAGTTACTTTCGCATTTATAATATTAGTAAGGATTGTATGTCTTGACCAATTGAAAACTCGCTAGATTATAAGCTGACAATATTTAGGTTCAATTTACAGTGCTACAAATAACCCTGTAAAATTAATACAATATGCATCAAAACATAAATAGATAAATAATGTCAAATTTAAAGTAATACACATAAAAACTTTATTTATACATAGGTACCGAAATAGTTAATTTTGCTGCTTACCTTTCATAACACCTAAAAATGATCATCGAATAAGCATGTAATTTATGTTTACCGTAATATTAAAGTCAGTTATATCATCGAATACGATTGCAATGTCATTTTACGAATATAAAGTATATTCATATTTTCCATGGAGCAATATCATAATGAACGATTACTACAGCAACACCGATTTGTGATTACAGTCGAACACTATCGTAAAGTTAGTTTGCGTTAATTTTTTCCATAGCTTATTTCAGTAATGGACATTTTCACAATTTTCTTACTGATAAAGAAAATTTATGATAAAAATTTAGTAAAAATCTAGTGCAAAAAAATATTCCCTATTTTTGATAAAATAATCTTCTTTTTAGTTTTGATAGAATTCAAGATATTCAGTTTTTATTTGCTCCTGTAAAATTGTAATTTTCCTATTACGATTTTGTTCGTCGGGGACTGCGATGTATACGGTTCTGTACACCAAAGCGTCGTACTAGACACACCCACTTATTTAATATACCTAATCACCGCACTAATTATGGTAGTAATGCTGTAATGACACGACTACCTCGCGTTTATACGGGAGACTTTGAGGGAATAGATATATTTCATTTGAACAAGGAGTCATATCGGAAACAAATCGCGAGTATACTCGCTAGTAAATGGATGGATACATAAAATAGGTAGATAAAGTTCATTTCTCAATTCATTTCTTATTGTTTTATTGTATTGTTATTTGAGTCAGTTAGACGTAATTTGGTTTAGTCTGGTTTGATTTATTTTGATCAAATCAAGTTTGTTCGGTTTAATTCTGATTATTTTATATTTTAGTTGAATTTAAGTTTAATTTGAATTGATTCCGTTTGATTTGATTTAATTTAATACAATTTGATTTAATGATTATTGTTTATTTATTGTATGATTTATGTTTTTATTATTAGTGTAATGTTATAAGATACTTTATTTTCTAGTTTTATATAGCGAATGTCGTGAAACTCTGTAATAGGCCTAAGAATTTAATTTATTGTAAATATGAATGTATAATGTAAAAAGCTCTTGAGTTTCCTATCAATAAATAAATAAATATAATAAGATTCTATGTCTTTGTGTTCTCCATCTTGAAGTACTACACCTAAATCGTTACAATGCTTAAAAAGCTCGTTATTTTAATTAAATGAGTCTCGAGTCGTTATTTGAGTTAAATGAGACTCGCGTGGCCGTGGGCGACGGCCCACTTTGCCCACGCCTAGCTACGACGGCCCACTTCGCCACTGCCACTATGCATGCCTAGTTAAATGAGGACCGAAGTAAATACATACGACTTCTGAAATGTAATATTTTACATTAACAAACGACTATTTAAAAAAAACAAACACGTATGTATCTTTCGTTAAAATTTTACAAAATATGGCTGTTTTGTTTCAATTGTGGCAATGAGCTGATCAAGTCGTCTGAAAGACCGGTCGGCGTTGGAGCAAAAGGGTCCTTAAGAAGAGACCGCCAATTGGTATACGGAGGCATCGCTTCAGCATCACGGACGCGCGGAAATCGGGTGACAAGCTCTCACCACACTTCAATTTCTGAGTGAAATTAAAGGAGGTCCATCCTTCCCCTTAATCTTCCCTTAGATAAGAAGGGGAAGAAACGGTCAAAAAAAGCCGTTTTCCTAGTGAAAGAAGTTCACTTGTGAAATAATGTAGTAGGTAGGCTCCTAAATCATAATATCAAATGTAGGTATCTAGTAAATAAAATATAGGGATAAACGAATTAACAGAATGTCTTCGAATTATGTTCGGTATTATGACCACCCTTTTATAACCAAAACAATAAATCATTTTACGATAAAACCTGAAAACTGTTAACTCATCGCCGTGTTTTCAATGATGACAGCTTTATTATACGTCATAATTAAAAACAAAATGGCGCGTTTAGTAGCTTGCCGCCGTTTTCGATTAGAGTTCGCGCCACAAAATGGTCGACTAAATGACCTGTGAACATGATAACTGGAAGGGTGAAACAGAGTTATAAGCGGAGCGATTTTGTAAGGACTTCAAATCAGCGATAAGTTTCTAATATATTAAGTAATCTGGTAGAAATTTTGAACTTATCAGTGGCTAAAATAAGTGAAGACTATCTCAGCTCTACTCAACGTTTTCTAGCTATTTTTTAACCACAGTTTCGTTCTCGTTAATATATCTTTTCCCTTTTTAAAAAGACAACGCCTGCACTAGGAACATATCCTGTATCGCGGGGACTTTGCAGGCATAAATGAAACGAACACAAAGAACACTCAGATTCAGAACAACAATTTGTGGATCACACAAAGTGTAGGGATCGAACCCACAACACTCAGCGCAGTACGAAGCGGCGAGGTTACGGCTTAAACCACTATGCCACTACTCGTGCAGATAATATCGACTTTGTCATGCATGTTTTCCTTGATAAAATGTAGTTTATTTGTTGTTCTAGACTCTAATCTCTACCTCTGTGATAAATTTCAGCCATATCTGTTCAACCATTCTGGTTCTCTTCTCAACCGTTCAATATTAAAGAGATTTAAAAAACAAGACTAAAAGAATCTAAAGTTAAAGCTTAAGTTATTGTTAAATGGTTCGATTGTATGGAATGTGGAGGACAGCGCTATCTAGTATCGACTCAAGTACATCTATTAAGATTGTGGTTAATACGAGTAGTTCTGATCCTTACATCGCTAGATGGCGCTGCAAGTAACGCGTGACTGATTCTGGAATATTCTTGTTTGTCTGGAACGGAACAACATGCATTATTATTAGAATAACTCTTATGGGTTGACCTTATCTTTCTGCACCGTCTTACCGTAGAAAGACGGCTTAAGATATTTACTTACTGAGACTGATATCAACAACGTTAATATCATATAATACGTCTGGCACAGCGGTACACACAGTCGACGATACGTTTATCCCTCCATACAAAGTCAAGTGTGTGTCGAAAGGTTCAAAATGTATGAGTCCAGAAGGGAGATTCACCAGTCTTTTATCAATTCTGCCAATTTGCTTCGACTTCGCTTTGACAATTTTTTCCGAAAAGTTTTTTTAAGTGAATTTAACGGTATAATATAGTATACCGCACAGCGACATTAACTGGCCACTGTATGTATAGGCACACAAAACATTGAATACTGTACCCGCCACCTCGTCTTGTACCAAGCACACACCCTAACTTAAGACAAAGATGATCAGTTCATAGCTGAGGTTAAACGGTTCGAAATCCAACCGATAAAATGTTATGAGAGTCGCTCGAGCGGCCATGTTGGATGATTTCATTAACCGCCGCTAGAGGGCGACAGGAGATTGCTTCAGTTCATATTTGTCCACTAATACATCCCGTGCAATAGATTCGATAGATTTTCGGAGTGATTGTTGACACGCTTTTTCACTGACTTTCCCGCGAATTCGTTCGCAGCGCTTTTCAAATTCCCGTTTAGTTCCGGGTTAGATGCCCGGACCGTGCAAAATTTTGAAGGGTTTTTCTGAGAGGAAAAATAGCCTAAGTTATTCTTTATGTACCTGGTAGTAAAATATTATCGAAATCAGTCCACCCGTTTAGAAGATTACCCGGAGCAAACAGACAGACAGACAAAAATTTAAACTGGTTTTTAGGCGTAGGCATCGTGCAAATAACCGTGTGAGCATGAAAACAAACCTATAATTTTGACATGACAAACAGACACTTCAATTTTATTTATTTGTTTAGATGACTAATCTAGTAGTTGGTTGAGTGACTCTAAGGCTGAAATTTATAAAGCGTACTTAGACTTTGCTCAGACTTTGCTTACGCTAAACTTACTTAAGTTCCTGCTCAGTGTAATCTTAGCATTCGAATTTATAGTCCTCTTGGGCTAAGAATTTACTGAGTGTATGCTAAGCAAGAGCTCAGGAAAAATTTTTAAACGTTTCGATTTGCATAGCATATTAATTTAAATTCTTGGTATTTCAAAAATATATTATTTTTAAAATAGCTGTAATAACCTAAAATATTAGTAATCTAATAAATTTTATCATATTATTGTATTTCAATCAATTAACACCTTTAGTTTTCATTGATTTTAAGTGATAAAAGGCAAAAATAACACATGTACAAGTAAAACAAAACGTACGTATATTTGACTTGTCAAATGTCATAACAATATTTGAGGTTGTCTCGTCTCGAGTTCATTCGCAAATATATCAATTTCTTGTATTAACTTTTTATCTTGACCCTGGCACACCCTTACGGACTTCTGTAACAACGCTTTCGAACTAAATTACGGCTTTTCTTCCTGGACAATCGAACCATCTTTTCACATTGACTCTGGCATATTTCACGGACTTTATATACTTTTCTTGCGGATTTGGTTTTGGTTAACGATGGAGAACATCGATAGAATTGAAAATGTTCTGTCTAGAATAGATAGAATCGGCACATCGGCACTGGATAATGTTCGTATGCCTAAAGCTTATATTCGCCATGAATATAATCAAGATCCATATAATTTGTGCGACGATCAATTTAAAAAAAGATATCGATTTACAAAAAATACGGTGAAAAATGTTATTTTGCCACTAATTGCTGACAAACTGAACCACTATGATAATAGAGGATTGCCAATAACACCAGAAATACAAATACTCATTGCATTAAGGTTCTATGCTACTGGAACTTATCAGGTACGATTTTATAGTTGTCTCATTTTATACTAGATTCGTAAGACTGTACACTTACTCCATAGATCTTTACCTCAATCAGATCATGTCATACCACCTGGCATGACCGTTAACTTTTTTCTTGTGTCTTTAGTAGGTTAGAGCCCCGTGGTGTTACCCACGGTACAACAACAACCACAGATATATAACCTATTTTACTCGGGGATGATTTAGCTTTCTAATGGTGAAAAAATATTCTAATCAGTTCAGTAGTTCCGGAGCCTATTCAAAGCAAACAAACAATCAAATCTTTCCTCTTTGTAATATTCATTTCTATATATTCATTAATATATAGATAAAAATAAATCAGCTTTCTTTTTAGATTCTTTTAGAATGTTTACTATTTTTCCCCACAGTTTTGCATCAAATCAGTATAGGAGCAATAAGTCCTAGCTATATGAAATTTATTTCTTGGTCTATTGTCTGTCCCAGTAGTATTTTTAAATAACTTTTCTGTTTCAGACTGTTTGTGGAGATTTATTAGGCTTGAGCCAATCTACAGTGTGCATCATCATAAATAAAGTTTCCAGAGCATTAAGTCAACTTTTACCACAATTTATTAAATTCCCAAACCAGCTACAAAATGTCAAACAAAAATTTGAAGAGTTGGGTAGAACCAACCAACTACATGGACTTAATAATATAATTGGAGCAATAGATTGCACCCACATTAAAATAAATAGACCAAGAGGTATAGCTCACTCTGAAGCATACAGAAATAGAAAATCTTATTTTTCCGTTAATGTCCAAGCCGTTGTAGGTCCCGATATGGAAATTTATGACCTTGTTGCACGATGGCCTGGAAGCGCTCATGATAGTCGGATATTTAGAAATAGCCGTGTTCATGCACGTTTGGCTAGTGGACAATTGCAGGGAGTCTTGGTGGGTGATAGTGGATACCCATCCATGCCATTTATTTTAACACCCTTGATACAACCAACAACACGTGCGGAAAATAATTACAATTATGTACAAATAAGGACAAGGAACATAATAGAAAGATTTTTTGGTGTCTGGAAGAAAAGGTTCTCATGTCTGCAATTGGGCCTCAGAAACAAATTAACAAATGTGTGCAATATAATTGTTGCTTGTGCAGTGCTTCACAATATTGCAATAAGAAGCAGAGACAATTACTCAATTGTAGAAGAAGATGCACAGCAAATTGATGAAGTGCAGTTAAATTCAAGAATGTCATCAGCTGCAGGATTAGCTTTTCGACAATCCATCGTAGAAACTTATAATTGATAAAGAAATAAAAATCATAATATTAAGTTCTTAGTTTTTATTTAATTCTTTCTTCAACAAATCTCTTTTTAATTTTAATATTTCCAGTTCTACTGCATGTTTTTCCTGATCTTGCTCTATCTGTTTAGTAACTTTTTCAATTTCTTTTTTCACAAGTTCCTTTTTTAAATCCTCCAGAGATTGTTCCGGTTTTTTTTTCTTTGCTGGAGCTGGTGCTAGTTCCGGGGTTGTGGGCATTGTAAGCCCCTGGAGAGAACAACCCGGTAGAGTATTAAGATCTTGTACCTCTTCTCCGAAGACATGAACTTCCATGTCCATCATTCTATTTTTTTTGTTTTGCCAGTAAACACCGTCATCATCATTTGTTTCACCTGAAACCAAATAAGATATCATTACTTACAAATAACTAGATGCTGTATGTGTATGTATATGTAATTAAAACAAAGTTGTTAGTACTACATATTTATAACTGATGCATGGCTAGACAAATCTTACTGAAATTTGGCACAGCTAGATTATAGTCTGGAACATCACATAGGCTATGTTTCACCCCACATGAACAAGAAATTCCCACACCAACGGGAATATCTAGAATGTTACAATGCCTGGACATTTAATTTATAGTAACAAAATGAACAACTAATAAATATAAATTATTAGTGAGTACTTACTAAATTGCGAGGTGCTTGATTGGATTATATCACTATCTATCTCAACTTCAATTGTTGGCATTATGGTTGGTAATATAGAAAGGACCTGGGTCTCTTCGGATCCTATAGCCGGAGGTGCAGGTCCACCACCAGTCCATCTTTTTTGGGATTCTAAAGTTTTAGCATCTCTGGCCTTCGTTTTTAGATTTTGCCACATTTTTTTAAGTTGAGCAGCATTCGCCTAAAAATAAAACAGATAATGTAAAGAGAGAATGAGGTTATTAAAATCCCAAGTAGGTGGATATGTTATTTACTACTTTATTCTCTAGAATTTTAACTTACTCGCTGGGATACGTTAGGCGAGTTATTGTAGTGGCATGCAATATCCTCCCAGGCTTCTGTCTTCTTTTTTTGGGATGTACCATCGGTCTTGCGATTCTCCACTATGTCCATTTTCGTCGTCACCAACTGCATAAGCAGTTGTTTTTCAAATTCACTGTAGGGCTTCTGTTTTTTTTTCTTATCGTCGGTGTTCATGACAATAGTAATCGGTGTCCGTAGATGAGCAAAAAAGGGTCGTCGTGAAAGCAGGTACTAGTCCGAGGGAATACAAGGGTCGTCGTGAGAGCAGGTACAAAATCCGAGTTAATGCAAAAGGTCCAAAAGTATAAAAGAGTTCAAGCGCAGAAAACACCACGAAGCGAAAACAAAGATTCAACAGACAATGAGAGTTTATGAGACCACATACAATGACAAAACAAAAAATCCATAGATTACCATTGATAGATTGTTGTTTACAATAGAATTCCATTGTCTTTCGTGCTAATATTAAAATAATTTAATTTTAAGGCTTTTCAGAGCATCTCCAACTACTAATGAGCACGTAAGTAATCGCTAAGTCATGGATTTTGGTGACTTAGACTATGCTAAGCATTTGCTCAGCTTGAGCTAAGCATTATGACTATAAATTTCAACGCACACTTAACTCGTGAGGTAAGTCTGAGCAAAGTCTAAGTACGCTTTATAAATTTCAGAAGTCTGCTAAGTCAGAGGTAATGGGTTCGATTCCTAAGACTAGCATGATCATTTGTTCTGCGTTTAAGTTATCTATAATATGTTTTTGGTAATATATAAGTTAGTTTATCAGCAGTGATCATCAACAGCCTTTACTAGTCCACTGCTGGACATAGGCCTCTCCTTAGAAATGAGGTTTCGGAATACTATACCGCACTGGTAGTTGGTCTGTCCACAGAGGTCTTCTATTAACTTAAATTTATAGTATACTTTTTTCTATAGAAAAAAAAAACTGTTTTGGCACCATATTTAAAAAAAGAATGCAAATTTCACATTTCTAAATATGGCCGACCTTTATTAAAAATGGACGACGTCTATCGTTAGTGTTGAGACGTTTCGCGCCCAGGGCAGGGAGTCCGACCATAAATCTAAACATTCACTAGCACAGGTGAGGTGCAGGTGTCCGAATTACCAGCTAGTTACCATAATTAATCACTGGAGCCGTGACGGACAGACCTACGAGATAAATTGTGTGGATTACGTATAATGCAGGTATATACAAATAGGATATTCTAAATAGGATTACGTAAGATTCTGAACTCTAATTAAAAAATGACTTAATCGATAAAAATAGACGGATGAGATATATTTTTTTTTTAAATTGAGATTCCTTTTGTGTGCGATTGTCTGATGTGCAGATGAAGAAGTCTCTGTTCTGTAGATGCGCATATTTATATGTGGACTAGGTGTTCCCCATCATCATTCATCAGTCATCATCAGTCATCGCAGGCTGTAGTGTGATGTTACATAGTCTGTTAATAAGACTATCAATATTTTTATTTTATTTAATATATTAGAATAGAAACTTATACTTTTTTAAATTAAGAGTATAGACAATAAACACATTATTTTAAGAGCTCTAGTTTTAATTTTTTTACTACTCTTAAACCCATAGAGATATTAGTATAAAGTGAAAAAGAGCCCAAATCTTGCAATATAGGCAACGAGAGAGATGGATGCTCGATAGTTCCCTCTATCTCTTTCTAGTCGAGCTCTGTGGTTGGCTGGGGAAATTACTAATCTCCCGCCTATTCTACGAACAAAACTATGCCCACTTCGCGATAGGCAATCGCAGCTTAGCTAAACAGAAACAGAGGAAAATATCGGGCATCCATCTCTCTTGTTGCCTGTATCAATTCCACTTACAGACAGACTCCCGTGTTCTCTCTATGCTTAAACCGGTTTTTAAGCATTTTAGGTTGTTTTAAGCATCCTGATGTTGTCACAGATTGTCATATAATCATAGATAAATAAATTTTAGGTATTAAAGTAATAACGAAACTATTTAAACACATTTAATTTATTATCTAACGTAATAATAATACATAACCCCTATTTATTAGCCCTACACGTTTTTAACGGTTTGTAATGTAATTTACATTTAATTTTGACACACCCGTGGACTTCACGAGCCCACAGCAAACGCCATCTTCTCACAGCAGCGCCGAACGAACCATAAATCACAGAGGAGCAACGGAGCGGATTATCGCGCGTTTATACGTCATTTATTCCGTCGCCATTTTCGCAGGCCTCGTCTACCTAACATTTAGGTACTGGGCTATTTACTTTAAATTGGATCGAATAAGTTTATATACTTTGACTTATAAATTACACCAACGTGCTAAATTATTAACTTTAATTAATTAATCTATGACTTTAATTAATCTATGTTACGAGAAATTGTAATAAATGCGTATTCCTCATTTCTTTAGGAGTTCTTCTGACCCTCAGAAGTATTACTTTTATAAAAGGACCAAGCTTGAAGTATACCCTCTCAAATGAAAGAAGACTTTTCCAAATCAGTTCATTAATGACAGAGTTCTGGGATAATAAACATAAAAAGAAAATACAACCAAAATACTTACTTATAAGAAACTTGTTCTGAAGTCGATTAAAGAAAGATGAAGTGTTACCTCCGTGCGCCATATTTGTTCAATTAAGGATACAAAGAACTGTTTTTAAGTTTTAATTTATAGCTAAAAAGCAATAATAACATAATATAATAGTACCGTAGCCGAAATTTTTATTTTTTGATTAAGGAAAACTACTTTGTAAAAAAGTCCGGCAGTCATGGGTACAGTATATTTTTAAATACTTTTAATGTCCAATTTCTTACCACTGCCAGTGTAAGCAATAGGCCTTGTAATATTTCAAATCAAATCAAATCTTTATTTGCCAACCAAGTGTACATCAATGATCTTATAATATTATATGTAGTGGTCCCAACTCAGAAGCCTTTTCCAGGCATTGCAAAAATTTGAGAGAGAACGCAGAAGAATAAATTGTTAGCCAGTACAAGCATTTTTTGAACAATACAAATATATTCTTCTGATAAAATAATTCCATAAATAGAGACTGCGATTACCATCATATGATTCTAAAAAGCTATTAACTCATCGGAGGGATAGATAAAAAATTAAAAAAACTCTAACATCAAACAAATGAAAAATTCTTTAAAAGTTTCCAAAATTCCATTTGCGCGCCATTTCCACTCACGTCACGTGTAAAGACCGCCATGCTCATTTTACTTTTTTAAAACAATGCGACTGCGTAATGGCGCGGTGAGCCACCGATGTTTTTATTTTAATATGTTTTTAATGGGTTCGAAACTGGAGGAGACTGTTTCCACTGTTCTGAAATGACGAGAGTTTTCATAATTTCAGATTTAAAAATATTACTGGATGTCCTCTGTAGGTACGTTCATGTACGTCTTAGGTAGAGAAATTAAGTGAAAAGTATGTAGTTGTCCGTGTGGTGACGGATTAAGAATACAGAGTGTCACCACCCCTAGTCATCCCGTGGGTGTCGTAAGAGCCGACTAAGGGAAAAAAACTACGCAGGACAACAGCACTGCAGAGAGAAGGAAAACTTGATACAAACCCTATACTAACCCGTCTGGCCAGCGTGGTATAGTAGGCCAAGACCTCCTTTCTAAGGAGAGGCTTATGTCCAGCAGTGGACTATTAAAGGCTGTTGATGATGATGTAGTTGTGCGATATACATATTTATAAGTACATTAGAAAACATACAAGCGACTGCAATGTTGAGGATGAGTTTATTATTAGCTATTTTGCCACTCATTGGGTTCGTTTAGTTTGGTTTGAATCATCTTCATCATCATTATTGACAGTCTTCAATTAATATTAGTTTTAGATTATTTATACATATTAGAAACTAGCTGAGACCCGCGGTGTTACCCGCGTTTGTTGTTATAACCGCGGGCAACGCCGCGGGGCGAAGCTAGTCTAAAAAAAGTAGCCTAAGTTACTCCTTATGTCATCAGCTATCTGCCAGTGAAAGTCCCGTCGAAATCGGTCCAGCCGTTCCAGAGATTACCCGGAACGAACAGACAGACAGACAAAAATTGTAAAAATGTTATTTTGCCATATGTACCTACCGTGTAAACATACATATGCATTTAGTAAAAAGGGGTTATTTTAATATTACAAACAGACACTCCAATTTTATTACAATAATAATAATAATATATATATAATAAATATATATAATAACCACTTGTCTGTCTGTTTGTTTCGGGTAATCTCTGGAAGGGCTGGACCGACTTCGACGAGACTTTCACTGGCAGATAGCTGATGACATAAGAAGTAACTTAGGCTACTTTTTTAGACAAGCTTCGCCCCGCGGCGTTGCCCGCGGTTATAACAACAAACGCGGGTAACACCGCGGGTCTCAGCTGGTACCTAATTAAAATGATTTGTCGGGCCTATTCATAGGTTTATTGATCCTGACTGCTAAGTAAGAGGTCAAATAAATAATTGTGTAATAATGGCAAATGTTGTTTGGGTGTATTTTATCTAAAATATTTTTTTATTTAAAAACACACAAAAAGCCTGGTTGCCATAGTACAGGTTCAGCCTAGTTTCCTAGTTAGATGAGACGGCTGTGTGCACAATGCGTCTGAATATTTATTTTATTACTAGCTGAGACCCGCGGTGTTACCCGCGTTTGTTGTTATAACCTCGGGCAACGCCGCGGGTAGAAGCTAGTCTAAAAAAAAGGAGCCTAAGTTACTCCTTATGTTATCAGCTATCTGCCAGTGAAAGTCCCGTCGAAATCGGTCCAGCCGTTCCAGAGATTACGCGGAACAAACAGATAGACAGACAAAAATTGTAAAAAATGTTATTTTGGCATATGTACCGTGTAAACATACATATGCATTTAGTAAAAAGCGGTTATTTTAATATTACAAACAGACACTCCAATTTTTTTATTTGTATAGATGAAATATATTAAAATATAGTACGGGTTTAATGGCGAATTATGTGCTCAAGAGACATATTTATAAAATGTGTTTAACCATCACTGCCTTTAAAAATATCCAAATTCCAACACGACTTGCGTCACCAGTTTAAATCATA